GTTCTAAATGCACCCAAATTCTGATGTAATTTCACTTAATGTTGGAACTACATGAACATGAACTTTCACTCACAGCGTCCTCGTGGCAAAGCCCTCCCACTGGGTTTCACAATTTTACTGGGTTTCTGTGAAATGGGGTCAAAAATCCCGACTTGTAAATGGTACAAGATCACCGTGCCTTTTCGAAGTCCTTCTGAAGCCCGTTAGGCTCGGCCTGAAGGACACGACCGGGGACAAGCAGTGATGCGTTCCTGCTTACCAGGGGTGAGGGCCCCGCAGAGTGGGAGACGGGCGGATTACAGGCGGTGAGTCCACTTAAAATACAAAACAAATTCTCTCAACACCGCCCAGCCTGGAGGGTGGTTTTATTGCTTTGTGGGGCACTAACTCTATTTGCATCTAAATGTCTACCTTTCCTCACATTAACCCTTGTTGTGTCCAGAATAACCAGACCCAACTTTAGTGCTCTTAACCAGGAGACAGTTTATTAGCCGGCGGCTGTCCTTGCAAAGGAGCAGCCTCGAAATGCCAAGATACAAGGTTTTTAAGCCCCAAATCCCATTCCTCATTCTGTCTTAAACACAAAGGTCCATCTTTCTCCTATTCACTACCTGTCAACCCACTGGTCAGGTGTGCAAGCGGGAAGTACAGAAGCAGAAAGCTTGTGTTAGAATGTTATGTTCCTATGGGTGATTGCCTATGTTCCCATGGACAATAGCCAGTGTTCCCATGGGCGATGGCCAAACAGTAATTTTCAGCTTATATACAATTGATTATTTTTCATGCCACGCAAGCAAGCAGGGTTACACAGGCTAAAATTGGCAGTTAGCGTATGAGCTCATTGTTACAAGTTTCATGATTAACAGAATGCAGTTAGCGGTTCCAGAAACTAGACCTAAGGTATAGACTTCCCTTGTTCAGTTTCAGGTTTTAATTATCCTTTAACCCTTTCACATTTCAGCAGGCTATCAAAACCTGAGCTTAGGTTCCCACCAGGTTCCCACTTTGCTTCTCCCCGGGCGCTAATAGATGCATGCTGTCCTTCTCTGTGACCTGGGACAGAGACTGGCCTTATCGCAGCTCAAATCATGCCCCTCCCCCTCACTTTTTGGATCTATAAGTAATAAATCTTGTGACTCTGCTTCATTTG